AGCACATTTGCTAGGATAAAACTCAGCCTTGTAACCACAGCTTAGCATCTAACATTAAGAAATCAGGATAAGTTTTAAGGCCTTTAATAAAACTGAAGGTGTATTTTAACAGAATGTCTCAGCTTCTGGAAGTATCACAGCTAGTACATATTTTCAATGTCAAGTATTGGCTTAGAATAATATAATTGAAGTATAAGGAGGAGTTCTACTGAAAAATCTATTTTTAGCTTCAAAGAAACTTGAACAGAAGAGTTAGAAAACATTAGGTCACTGATGGTGTTCTCCAGAGCCCTTAGAATTCAACTTAGGGAAGTTCTGGATTGAGTGCAGTCAGCCACAGCAAATGTGAAAACTTGGTATGAAAATGCCCCCATAAGCAAAGAGATATGATGTCTGATGGCTGTGCATGCCAGAAAATTGCCTTCTGTGGGGATTGTGAAAAACATGACTTTTTCCAAAAATAGATGCAAAAAACATTGCATGCTAAGTTTTACACCTATTTTTCAGGGTCCAGGCTTTTAATTGCAGCCCAGTGATTCAATTAAGAGTGAGGAATTCTAAGATGTGTTGACACATTTCTCTAAAATCTGTTCATTCTTCATGCAACTGAAAAAATACCTAAGTTTAAATTACTTTTATGTATTCAGGCAATCTCCTGAAATGCATTGTCATTGTGGGCAAGTTTCTGTAACTGTTACTGGACCAGGTTGCTCTTTATTTCAGTTTACATTGTATTAGTATTTCATTTCTAGAACTGGTTCAAACCCTACATATTTTGATGTATCTGTAGTGAAATCTCCAGTTAAGCAAAGGGGCTGAAATAACCAATATTTACATTGACAGAGGAATGCAGGAAAGTTTCCTTCTTGTAATACTTGGTAGGAGTTTTATTAACCTTTTATTTCCCTGTTTTAGCCAGGTGACACTGGTTATTCACTGCACAATCCAAATTAAACAGCAGCTGGTTGTCTCCCACATTATTCTGTATCAGGTTTTCAAAGCTCATCCTGGTGTATCACTTTCCATATGTTTCACACTGAATTTTAAGCAAAGGAGTGTCTGTCTCAGCCTAGATACTTCCAGTCACACCTTTCCAGTATAGGAAACATAGGTAGTATGTAGGTATACAAAGACTTGGTTAATAGTTTAATCATGAATATATTTTTTCTAGATCTCCACAAGCATTGACATTTGCTGTTGTTCTTCCCAATTCTTCAGGGGAAAAAAAAAAAAAAGGAGGAGGGTTGGTGGAAAACAGTTATTTGCCCTTATTTAAAAGAATTCTGTCAGAAGCAAGACCATAGCAGCAACATAAAATAGCTGGGTGTGTTCTAGGGGAAAATGCATTATCTCTTTTTTTTTTTTTCCTTAAGAAATGACATTTTTAGTATTTACAGGTTACTCTCACCCTGATTAGCCATATATCAACTCATTGCACATACCCAGTGAGAGCTTATTTATCAAGATTACAGGTGAAAGATTAGAAAATGGAGGATTTTAATAAAGTCAGCAGCAAAAGGCCAGAAGTGTGTTTGTGTTCCCCAGGCAGTGGGATAGTGAGCCATGCTGTACAGGTTGGGGGGGCAAATACCTCTTCCCTCTTTGCTGTGCAGTGTGAACATGCTCAAATCTGCTCCTAAGCCCACAGCTTCAGGTTTTTCTATTTCAGCAAAATAGGTAGTTTGGCTGTGGCTGATATTTTCTCAAGCTGTCTCATGTTTTTTGTGGGCTTTCAAGGCTATTCAGCATGACAGAAAGTAAGTTATGAAGCTTTTCCTAGAAGGGTGTTCCTTTTTCCCAGGGTTACCTGTGTCAAGTAGCAAGTTAATTTGAAGAGGCAGTGGAGCCATAGTGGCTAATTTGCACAATCATGAGTGAACACTTTGATTGCTTCTTGTTCTTCTGATGAATAAACTGATTTAGGTCGGACAGGTCTTCAAAGACCATCTGGTTCCAACCCCTTGCCATGGGCAGGGACACTTTCCACTATCCCAGGTTGCTCAGAGCCCCATCCAACCTGGCCTTGAAAACTCCCAGGGATGGGGCAACCACAGCTCCTCTGTACAGCCTGTGCCAGGGGCTCACCACCCTCACAGGGAAGAATTTCTGTGTAATACCAAATCTAAATCCATCCTCCTTCAGCTTGAAGCCATTGCCCCCTGTCCTGTCACCACGAGTTCTGTAAAAAAAACCTCTCCATCTCTCCTGTGGGCTCCCTTCAGGCACTGGAAGGTGCTCTAAGGTCTCCCCAAAGCCTTGTCTTTATCAGGCTGAACAACCTGGACTCTCCCAGCCTTTCCTCACAGGAAAGAGAGAGGCTCCACATGCTGAGAGGGCTGTGACTGTGCAGTCTGGCTGAAGAGAAGGTTCAGGGTGACCTTGTCAATGTATTTAAATACCTGGAACAAGGTACAATGACAACAACACCAGGTTGTTTTCAGTGATGCCCAGTAGCAGGACAAGAGGCAGTGAGCAGAAACTGAAGCACAGGAGGTTCCCCTTCAACAGAATAGAAGCTTTTTTATTGTGAGGCTGACAGAGCAATGGCACAGGTTGCCCATTGAAATTGTGGAATCCCCATTCTTAGAGTTATTAAAAATTCTTCTGGGCACAGTGCTGGGGAGTCTGCTCTAGATAGATTTACTGTTTACTGCCCTTTCATTGTTAAGTTTTGGAAGTTTGGAGTTGTTTTCCCAAAATAGGTCCCATAAAATAAAATAAGACAAATATAACTTTTTCTTTTTTTTCTTTTTTTTTTCTTTTTATTTTTAGAATGGACTTTTTTAGTTTTAATTTTTCTCAGTTATTAAATTAAAAGTACTATAGTTGATCTATCTCTCAGTCTATGAAATTTCAGAAATGAAGCTCATTCAGCTGCAGGTCTCTTACATCAACAGAGACAATGGCAGTACAATAGTATCTCCTCTCAGGCTTGAACATGATTCCTGAGCTTGATCTGTAGCTTGCTGAACATAAATGGAGAATGCCTACTGAGTTTATTCTGACCTGAATGGGAATCTGAATTAAATTCAATGCACAGAGAAAGATAACATTTCTTCTTCTTCTATTTTTTTTTTTAATCTGCAAGACTTGAAATTCATCTAACAGCTTTGCCCACTGAGTAAAAGTCACATTTAATTCAGCAGCTTTTAGGTGCATAGCCTTAAAAAGAATATTATTTATTTTATCATCACTGGTTAAATTACTTAGCTTATGATGCTTCTGAATGTGAATGTAGAGTCTAGTTGTTAACTTTCTCACAGTATTTAACAAAAATTTAGCATGTCAGAGACACCTAGACTGAATGTTTATTTTTATTACCTGGTAACTTCTGAGTAATTTGTAAGAAGTGACAAACACTGAAGTTAGAATCTGTAAAATGCCATGGCATAAAACTGCCAAGCTCTTCATTATGAAGAAATTCAGCCTTATATTTTTGACACAGGTCTAAGTTCTATAATGAACTCAGTCTACATTTGAACATGCCTAGAAGACTTAATCAGCACCTTATCTCTTTCAGTGCATCCTAAGTTTTGTTTAGAAATGTCTGCCTCAGTTGATACTCTGCCTAAAGACCAACAGAGTAATTTTTAATTTGGAACAAGTTCTAAAATTTAAATCAGGAGAAGACCTATTCTGCATTCTCTGTCAACTTTAGAAAAAGTCTATAGAAGAAATTATATAACCTAGATTCACAGTTACAAAAGGATTAATAGTAATATTTTGTATTCAAGGGGACAAGGGAGATTGGTGTTATATAATATTTCAAAGCTGCTGAACAAAGCAACTTGATAATGGAGGTAATATGAAGTAAAATATCCAAGATTTAAAGAAACTGATGGAATGGTGCTGTTAAAGTCACCAGGAAGGCTGCATCTCTGGAGATAGCTTTAGAAAGGAACTAGGCCATCAAACTGAAGCTCTCAGCTTCGTCTTTAATAGATAAGAAGCTCATTTTGCAAAAATCAGTGTAGCAGAGTTAAATTGGGGCTCTGGTAATTATAGTGGCTGAAGTTCCCTCTGTTAGGGATCTCTTCCATGCTTTTTCTTATTTATGCTTGTGCTGCCCTGCTCTCCTGCCCTTCTGCCTTTACCTTTCCATCCTCCAAAACAAAACCTGAGTTGACTGGCTAGACATGGTACCCAAGAAAGCCAAGAAGGGGCATTATGGTCAGATTTAATATCTAGAACAATAACAGCTAAGGTACATGGAGGAACTATCAGGAGCAGCCTCTGCTTTTGTAAAAGGTTTTTTAAACTGTTTTTTTCAAACAGCTTTTGAGAACAGATTTACATGTGGTTTATGAGATCTGCATTTTTAAGCCTAGTGTGGTCAGGAAGCACTGATGAAGTTTTTGGACCCATCTACACTGCTTCAAACTCTGCAGGTCCTTAGAAAAGCAGTACCAGGTGTCATAACACTTACTGAGCCCAGAAGAACATAAAGCAGAGAATGCAGAAGAATTACAAGGGAAGATCAGTGCCAAAGTGAAATACTGAAAACCAAAGATAGAAAATATGTGGGAAAAATCCCCAGAGAAGGAACAGGCATACTGCTTCTGTTGCTGCCTTTTCAATAAAAAAGAATAATAACCATTTTTTACTTGATTTCTACCTGACAAGATGACAAAAGAGCACTTGGAATGACCATGACAAGAGCCTATATGCCCCAAACCTTTATTAATTCATGTATTGATTCTTTTAATGGGTGTTGAAACTGCATCGGAAAAGTTTAAATTGGGTGTTGAAACTGCAGTGAACCTTATTAAATACCTTCCCTATCCCCACTGGTTGCCTTAAGTGCACAGTAGTTCTTTTGTGTTGCTGCAAGAGGGATGAAAGTTTTAGAAGCTCAAACCTGTCCAAAAGGCAGCAGGCACATGCAGATCTGGAGACAGTGCTTTCTCATTTGTAACAATGCCAACGCTTTATTGTGATGCCTTGGAAGCTTCTCTAGGTATTGATTCTGAAAAAGGTTGGCACGGGTTCATCCCCAGTGAAAGCAACAGTCAGCTTATCCAGCTTGCTTTTGAGGACTTCAGCCATCTCTCAAGTAAGCAGTTTTGCATATCTGGGTGAATAATTCCTGTACAGCAAACTGTACAGCAATGCTTAGCCTAATCCCATAGCTGCTAATCTAATATATATTTCACAGTTAACACTTCTTTTTTTTTCCTCTTTCCTTCAAAATGGATGTTCAGTGACTTCTTGCTTTGGGGTTCAATTTCAACTTTAAACAACTGATTTTTATTACCAGAAAGGCTGTCAGCCCTTTCATTATCAGTCACATGCCCCCTCCCATTGCTCCTGTGGATCTTTTCCCTTCTCGGGCTCGTGCTGCGTAACCTCCTTTCCCTCCTACGTCACAGGCACTGCAATCCTTTTCCTCTTCTGTTCCATGCCCTGCAATAATCTCCTGCTAATGCACCAGCTCTCACTAAGAGAATAAGCCCTGCCACCCCCAATCTCAAGCAGCTTCCTGAATAATACCACATGATGGGAGATTACATGCTTAAAATATAGTTCAGTCTTAGCGTTTTCTTGCTCGTCGTAATTCAGGCCTTTCCTTGTGAGTTGTGACACGTCCCAAATCCCCACCTCAGGCCTATAACCCCTTGGCCTGCTTTTTAGGATGATCTGACTTCGTACTGGACTTGCCACAAATCTCCAGGTTGCTGGGAGGCACAGGCCATCAGATGTGTCCTCAGCTGCCACGGACGGCGCATTACCACATATCCCTCAGCTAAGACACAGCCTTCAAAACAAGTCTGGCCCTTGGTGCAGTGCTTAGAGCCCCCCAAAACTGCCAAACAATAAGCAGAACAAGTTGCATTTTGCAGTCCTCCAGTCCTAAAATGCAGCTGGTTACTCACCTTCTTGTTTACCTCTGAAAAGCTGTGTGTGTGCTTCTGTGTTCACGTTTATCTCGGTGGGAAACTCACAGCGTTTTCAGTAAATATGGGAAGTATAAATCTTTGCACAATATTTCTGGAAATACAGGTTGATAAATGTGAAGATCTTAGCATACACTGAGAATGGGGTTCCTGAGTAGCTGTATCACATAAACTCCAAGTTCATGTGCAAGTACTGGGGTAGATAGGCGCTATTTTATAAATTCTTTTAGTACTGAAACAATTTCAGAAATTGGATAAAATGCTTGTTTTCATCTTCTACCATTTTTAAACTGCTACTTTTCCCTGGACTCTGAAGCCTGGCAAGCAGATACTTTAGACTGCAGAATTGTGTAGTAAGGCTTTGATTCATCATGCAGTCAAAGATCCACGATTTTCTTCTGCAAAAAATCTCATATTTTTTTTTGTTTTTTGGTTGTTTCGGTTTTTTTTTTGGTTTGGTGGGATTTTTTTGGTGTGTTTTGTTTTGTTTTGATTGGGGATTTTTTTGGTGTGTTTTGTTTTGTTTTGATTGGTTTTTTTAAATGAAATAGAGTTATATAACAAAGTTATGCACAATGCCTGAATCCACTATGTGCTCTCCTACACAGCTTTGAGAGGGATATTTTGCTCTGTGATATGCTAGCTGTAAAATGAGAGTATTAGTTCTTGCCTTCTTTAGTAAATCTATTTGAGGCAAGATAAATGTGAAGGGATAATTATACATTATTACTATGATAACACTGTTCTTTTTAATGTATGTTTTTCATGCAAGACTTCCTAAAAATCTTTTTTTTTTTTTTTCACCAAATCTTTCATTAACCTTTTCCCTGTTAAAATATGTGTGTTTTTCATTTTTTTACTAGACAGTTTGATTTTACTGACGTAACTGTCTTTCTGGTGGGGACTTTCCACCACTGCTGAATGCAAAGGGAGAGAGTAGATTTCTTTATGGGTGTGCTTTTCTTGTCAGGGTCAGGTGGATACAATCTGGAATTATGGAGAAGAGCCTTAGGGTGGAATTAATTTTCTTTTTATTTTGCTATCTAAAAATTTGTTGTCCAATCAAACTTAATTGTGCAGCTAAATGTTTTCTACTGAGTACTGAAGTCAGCTGTCAGTCTTCCTCATAGTCACAGACTCATTTAGAGTCTGTTATAGAAACATTTTCAGTGATCCAACATAATGTGTGTTTTTACATATGAAAAGAATGAGTTTCTTTCTATTGCAGGGTTGTCATTTTTTAAATTTTTTTTAACCTGAGTGTACAAGTTTCTGTATTTAAAAAGCGTAACTGATTTTAGACATAGTAGAAATAATTCATCACAAGTAGTAATGTAAGGGAGGGCTAGAGCATAGAATTCTTTCTTCTGGTGATGACATTTTGTTGGTACCAAGAGTATGGCTATCCAAGAGACAATTATTCCCATTTCATCGCTATGAACAACTGAAAATTCAGTTGTATTTATTCACAGACCTGGAGAGAATACTAGGCAGTTTTGTTTGGATGGATTTTCTGAGATGTAAAAGCTTTTAGCTGGATTTTGCTTTAAGTTTGAGCTGTGGTAAGTTAATTTTAAAGGCATCAGGTAGCAAAAGGTCAAAGAGTGAGGTCTGATCTGTTTGTTGCTGTCTCTAGACCAGAGCATGGTACAGTTCAGGACCAGGGTTAAGTTGTAATGTCATAAGGCAGGAGCTGGACTGTGATCTCTATGCAGTGCTGGGTTTTATTACCCTGAGTGGGACTATATGTGAAATACCATGTCTTGTTTAAGCTTGGCTGACTCCTTTGAAGCATTAGTAGAACACTGACCATGCTTCTTTCAGGATGCCACTTGAGCTTGCACTTGAATTTTATGGACTGTTAGGTGCAGAAGCTTGATCATCCACTCTGACAGCTGTATGGAAACTCCACAAGTCCAACATAATTTCTTCTTCATTTTAGGTGGCAAAATATGTGGCTGCATGGTTGAATGAATAATAACCATAAAAAGTCTCTAACTGGGATCTATTTTTCCTGACTCCTACTCCATGGCCACGTCTTCCCTTACTTCACTGTCACGCTGTCATAATGTGCCATGTAGGCTTTATTATTGGGACAGTGCTATTATGAAAGAAATCCAATTAGAAAATGGAAATCCTCCCCTTTAACTCTGTTAGATATTCATATAAAAGGTAGAAAGAGGCACTGTAACACCTACACCATAAGTTTTTTGAAATACATTTTATTCCTGGATTTATTGAGAAATGCTATTAAGTAGATTTGAGATGAACAAGAGAAAGGTAAGAAATTATCAATATCATTTTAGGCCAGTGTCCTGGGGTGACTTTATGATGCTTGTATCCCCACTTGTCTGTTCTGTTTATGCTGGCTATGAAGTTCTGCACCTCTAAGAGTGGTTTCAAGAGTGAAGGGGGGAAAGAAGAAGCGCACAGTTTGTGTTCTGACACAGCACTCACTGTGCTGGCTGCAGCACGGACAGACAGCAGGACAGAGCTCTCCTTTGCTGTTAGTTAGCTTTTAGCTAGCTGAGGCAGGGAAGTTTCCAGGCTTGTTTTTTTTCCCCCTTTCCTTGGATCTGTTCAAACCTGCTCTGGACTGAACACCCAGCCAAACCCCAGGAGCTCACACCTGTGGCCCACCAGGGCCTGGGCCTCGGCACTTTCCAGCACCAGAGGGACTGATAAGAACCTGAGTGAGCCAAGCTACACCACACGAAAAGGACTTTTCTGGATGTGCCATCTCATTGAACAGGGAGAGGCTTCATTGTTTAATATTATTCCATTTCTGTTAAATAAACATTTTTATCCACTTTTCTCCAAGGAAATCTTTTCCCTAACCAGCTGGGACAGGGACCTCTTGAATTTGCTTTCTAGCAGGACCCCATTTGGAGGTTTCTCCCAAATTTGCCCTCAACCAGGACAGCCAAGGTTCTGAAGACCTTGATTTGCTAAAAGATATCTGTGATATTTGAATTCTGAGTTTTTAAACTAGATTTTTACAATTTTAGATTTAAAATGAGCCTGAGGCTGTGCCTAGCCAGGGGCTGCAAACACCACTGTGTGTGTTTGAGATGCTGCTGCCCACTGCACCCAGGCTGAGTCAGAGAGCAGAGCTACGTCAGAAGGGGTATGAATTCTCCTAAATTGCCTGGGTATAAAGCCAGCTGGATTGGCTTAAACTGTTGTTAAAAACAGCTAAGGCATTAGATAATCCTGCTTATGTTACTGTGATGCAAGTCATGGGAGACAGTTTAGTGTTTATGAGACGCTGAAATACATTTCAAGCAAATTAATAAAAGCAATAACAATAGTCATTAAACTTCTTACCAAGTATGCAGAGTGTACCAAAGACTTTCAAAAACTCTCAGAATTATTTTTGTGCTGTAGTGCTGAAACATTCAATCAGGATTGGCAGGAACAGTAAACTACTGCTGGATTGCAATGAAATTTCTACAAGCAAGCATATGGTATCTAGATTAATACCAAATGAGTCCTTCATTGTTAATGTTACCATGATGAACACTAAAGTTATTAATAAAGTTTAGACCAACTCTTAGACAGTGCCAGCAAAAAGATGACAGTTCAGTAAAAAAAGATGGTTTTTGATGTGAAAAAAATCTGTGTCATCCCTTAGAAAGAATAGAAGGATGTGACTAAAACTGAAAAGCCCAGACTGTTCTCTTAAAGATGCTGCAGGCTGATCATTTCTGGTGAGGAGAACACACATGTTTGTGCTGTTCAGTCTGCATGGACAGAGGTGGGAGCTGTACACTATTCAACAGGACCAAATTTGGATCCACCCAGGGACCACTGGCAGCATTGTTGTGTACAAGGAATGCATTTCTAAATTCTGCCAAATATGGTTTCCTTATAACTCAAATAACTGAAAAAAAATCCTCCACAGCCCAGGGTTGAATCAATAACTGTGCAGATGGCACATGTGGGTAGTACATGAGAAAGTTTTTCTTACAAGTTTCTTTGTGTATCATCCCCCCCTAGACTTTCTTTTACCTCAGCAGCCTTCTCACCTTTGTCTCTAATTTGCTGCACTTTATTTAAAGGATTAAATTTAATTGGAATAAGAGATTATCTGAGGATTTGTTTTAAACTATAACCTAGGAAAGTTTGTTTGTGTGAAAATGAAGTGTGCTTTGAAAAT